GTTCAATGTAGTCCTTGAACTTAAATCAATGAAAGGACTACAATGAATAATTTCATATAATTCAGGGACTACATTGTCCAGAAATCACATTAAACAAATTAAAAATTTAGGGTCCAAAGTGAACATTAAGCTAAAATTTCAGGGACTACATAGCACTTGTGCCAATTCAGTAATAAACCTTTCGACTTTGTCAATTGAGTTATAAACCATTTCACTTCTTATCAATTGAGTCCATCTGGCCAATTTTTTTACCAGAATTTGCAGACGTGGACGATGTCTATTTAACGTGGCACGACCGGTGCTTCTGTGGAATTTTTTAATAATTTTTTGAATTTGTATGATTTTTTTCTCTCTTTTTTTCCTTTTCTTTGTTTTTTTGGGGGTTTTAAAATATTATTAAAAATGTACATGTCAGCGTCGGCGGTGTCATATAAGCAATTTCCAATTGAAATTGACGGGATTGTTTCAATTAGCAAATTGTCAAAACTCAATTTGTTCTATTGAAAAGTTTAGGACTGAATTGGCGAAAATTCAATAGATTTAAGATTTTTTGGATAATTTTTCTCAATTATTTATTACAACAAATCTAAGGAGCATCATGAATATCTTGACTTCAACGTAGTCACTTCCTTAACTTCAGGAATATGAAAAGAACACTTACATTATTGGTACGCGGCACGGATCCGAAAGGACACATCGGGCTGATTTCCTTTTCGTTAATAGAAAATTAGAAATCAAATATTACTTCTCTACTTTATGAAGGAAACCCATCCCCCTCTTTCAACCTCCCGTTTGGCCAAAACATTCTAATTTTCTCCATTCTGGGCATCTATATAAAATATTATAACAAAGTCTCGTCTAAGTAACGTCACCAATTGGGTCACTTAGAATTATATATTCCGACAGTGGCCCTCTCCATGAAAGTAGCCGCCACCTAAATGCCTCCTCAGCAAAAAATTAATAATCTACTTAATTGCTATCTTGAATAGTGACTCTATTTTTTTTTCTCTCCTGTAAAATCCATAATGTAAATTGTCTATTGTCAATTAATATTTCACCCCCGTTTTCCTAAATCATTAAGTTCGACTAGGTTTGATTAAAGGTTGACTGGTGAGTTGCAAGGAACACAGTTTTAAACATTAAAATCTTTAACACTCATATTGCCACGTGAATTCGACAGTCAATTTTCAACCCTTCCGAACTGATTATCCGTTGTTCATAATGTCGGGAAGTTCGAGATTCCTTGATTTAGATTGCGTATTCCGCAACTCAAGCATCCCTTCACAACACAAATCGAGTCAAACGAATATTGGACACGGGAGTAAAGGTGGTCAAACTTCGATCAAACGTTCCGATACCCAAAAAACAAAGGTCCCAAAGCTCAAAACCATACCTGGAGTTCTTGAAATCATACAAAACTTTACAAACCTCTAAGTTATGGTAAATAATATTCTTTTTGAAAATGATAAGCACTGAAATGGCACTTGAGTCATAGACACGAGCCTTATGCTCCAATATGAGTTGGAATCTTGGTTCTGTAATTTAACTTGAAAATATTGGGCTTGTTGGAAATGTCTTGATAGGAGCGGTGCAAAAATCACGCGAATCAAATGTTAGACAGAGGACTTAGGATGCGCATGGCAACGATTATGTGCCTAGAAACTGATTCCGCTCAGAAATGATTTTTTTTTTATTCTGTGCCCGGGAATAATTTTTAAGCATTTGAAAAGCGTTTGGTAACTGTCCAAAATTTCTATTCTTAGAATAGAATAAGAATAGAAATGCGTTTGGTAACTACACAAAATTTCTTTTTATTAATAATATTTTGAATTTTTTAATATTTCTTTCTCTTTTTTTTCTTTCTTTCCCTTCCCTTCCTTGGCCATGGCCGATCGCCGACGTCAACGACCTGCCACAGGCCAGGGTCGGCGACGCCGACGACCGTCCACAGGCCAGGGTCGGCGAGGGCATCGCGGCCCTCGCCGCCACCCTCACCAGTCGCGACGGCGAGGTCAGCCTCACCTTGGCTGGGCGAGGCTTGACCTCACCCAGATCTAGCGAGGCTGACCTCGCCATTGCATCTCCCTCACCTAGGTCGCGATGGCGAGGTCGGCCTCGCCAAATCTGGGCGAGGTCGAGCCTTGCCCAGCCAAGGCGAGGCCCATCTCCCTCGCCTGGGTTGCGACGGCGAGGTCGGCCTCGCCATGGCTGGGCGAGGCCTCGCCGTCGTGGCCGTGAGCCGCCCTTGCCGGCCCTGGCCTGTGGTTGGTGGCCGGCGGCAGGCCAGGAAGAAGGAAGAAGAACAAACCAAGAAAGAAGAAGAAAACCAAGAAGAATCAGAAATGGAAAAATTGTTCCCAGAATCAAGAAACTACTTTTTTTTTGCTTCTTGATTCTGTTCCAAAACTGATTCTAGGAACAATCTTTTGCAAATTTGTGTTCGGGAACAAAAAATTAAACAAACGGATTTCTGTTCTCAAGCTGATTCTGAGAACAAAAGAACAGAAATTTTTACTGTTTGACAACTTGCCAAACTGGCCCTTAAGGCCCCGAAAAGAACAAGTCTAGAGACGAGGTGCTAAATCCATGTAATTACCCTTTCGTTTCTGCATTTTGGAGGGTGGAGAGTCTATTCCTTGATTTCGTGCTCTTCCAATTCTCACGTTTCTCTTGTTTTCGCGTGAGTTTTGGATGCATAGGCACCAAAACTCTTGCATTGTCAAAATAAGTATGAACTCCCTCATTTTCAAATTTCATACAGAAATGCACGATGCTAGTATGTCGTAACGTCTGTTTATAATCATAGTATCTAGAAAATGTCGTTGTGTTGCTCGACTAAATGGTCAAAAAATGCATGTTTTAGTTCATCCCGGTGTCGAAATGAAAACTCGAAAGCTTAGGAAATGTCTTTATGCTGCCTGTTTGAACAGCTGAAAATGTATGTTCTTAGGCCCTCGTAATGCCGAAATTAGATCTTGAGTTATATGACGTTGTTGTGTTGTCGAAATGTCACTAGAAATTATACATGTTAGTAGGCCATCATAATGACTGTTTAAATCTAAAATAAGACTATTACGATATTGGCTATCACAGAAATATGAGAGAATGCATGTTGTTATTGTTGCTGATATAAACAGTGTAGTATGGAGGTGATATAAGTTATTGAATATATCTCACATAAAGATGCTGCCTCTGTCACTACATAAACATAAAGAGAGTTAGATTCATGGTTAATCCACCTACTATGGGTCACGCGTGAAGGGTAGAACAAAGGAAGTTAAAGGCTTTCTTATCACAACTCTTTTACACAGCAAAGTAAGCATCTTCTTACCAAATTGAACAAATTTGCCTTTTCGACCAAAAAAAAAAAAGAATAAATTTGCCTTGTGAGATGGGAAAGCTAAATGAGGGGCCAGGCCAAGAAAAGAAGTTATCTCACAATGCCACGTTGCTTTTCACACTTCTTCGATTATCTTTCCTTGGTCAAGTTCAAAGGAATAAATTAAAGCGTGACACTAGAACACTTCTTTATCTGTGAACTAACCCGAGTTTATGTACTGAAGGGATTGGGTTCAAGTGTAGGATAGGCTTAATAATGCAGTTAGAGGTAAAAAAAAAACAGCCATCACAAATTCGAACACATGAATAGAACCCCAAAGCATGCAACCACTCATTTCATGATTTTGATTTGAAAAATGATTTTGAAATCAAATGAAGATTTCTTTTTGACCTGGCCAAAAAGAAAATGATGCATTTCTCGGACCTGAGTAGGTCCTTAAAAGGCTCAATAGGAAACGGGGAAATGAACTCCCCAGTATAGTGGAGGGATCTCCCCATAAGTTCTCTTCGTATTCTTTCTCTCCCAGGAAGAAAAAGATAGGGAGGGAACTGCGGGGCATTTTGGGTGGAGAAGCTAGACTCCACGTCAGCTTCAGCTAGTTACCGCTGGTTAGACAGTTATAGTAGCCTCCCACGCCTAAAGTGACAAGAGGGGAGCTTCGGCTCCTACTGGGTTGGTCTGTGCTTCGTACAGTGCTTTGTAACCGGCTTGCCGGCCTAGTACCCCCAGTTACACAGTGCATTTCTACATAAACATTACCATGTGCGAGTAAAGCCGCAAATTGAATGAACGACTCCTTACATAGTATAATTACATTTCACATCATTGTTATATTTTGCATCTAATTTGCTATGTTATGCTATATGTGATTATTGTCATATCATGTCATCGTTATATCCTGCATCTAATTTACCATGTCAATTTGCGTGCGATTATTGCTATGTCATGCTATCTCGTCATTATGTTTTGGATCTAATTTGCCATGTTATGCTGCATGCAGTTATTGCCATGTCATGTCATCTTGTCGTTATGTTTTGATTTGCCATGTTATGCCGCATATAATTATTACCATGCCATGCCATCATTATGTCATGCATCTGATTTGCCATGTCATGCTGCATGCATTGCCATGTCATGTCATTTCATCGTTATGCTTTGCATCCGATTGGCCATATCATACTGTATGTAATTATTTCCGCGTCTTGTTATCTTGTCGTTATACCTTATATCTGACTTGCCATATCATGTTGGATGTGATTATTGATATATTGTATCATTTCATTATTATGCATTGCATCCAATTTGTCACGTCAACTGTACGTGCTTAGTGCCATGTCATGTTATTTCATTGTTATGTCTTGCATCGGACGACTATTGGAAAATATTTTCCAAATCATCCATCCATTTTCCATTAAAGCTTCCGCTCACCCGATTTTCATCCATTTCCTAAAACATGGATAGCGGAAGGGGTTTAATTGAAAAAGGAAAAGGATTGAAGGGGGAAATAGAAAAGAATCCAAAAGCTTGGTGCTATTTTAGCAAATAGTACAAAGATTAGGCCAAACTTAACAAAGAAGCTACCCCCGCCTTTTCGGTTTCCTCTTCTCTTCTTTAAAATTGACCACTGTCCGTCGTCGACTATCCTTCACGTAGTCTCTCTCTCTCTCTCTCTGGCGCTTCACAGTGCTTCTCCGACTGCTTCCGGCGAAGAAGATGGACCGGCCACCGCCACTCCGCCCTCGCCCTCCCAGCCGCAGCGGCGGGCGCGGCGGCGGGCCCCCGCCTCCCCTGCAGCAACACCAGAATCCTTACCGTCCTCATGCCGGAGCCTGGGCTTCTCCGACTCTTCTCGTGAGACCACAAGAACATCATCACCATCATCCGCACCAGCATCAGCAACATTCCGGTCCGAGCAACGTAGAGCGGCTGGAGAGGATCGACCGGGCCGTCGCGAAGGCTCGGCGCGATCTCCTCGCCGCCGGAGAGAGCGTCTCGTCCTGGAAGGTCTCGCAGGCCGCGGTCTTGGCTCTGCAGGTCGATTCGTGGAGCTCCTTAGGGTTCAGCATGCAGCAAGTGCCCTCTCTTAAGAGCTTAATGGCTGTTGAAGGAAAGGTAAAGCTCATCTCATCGGTGTTGAAGTTTCGTCTCTCCTCTGTTTTTAGACTGCTTGAAACTGTGTGTCCACTGAGTAATGGCTTAGGAAAGATTCTCTCCCTCTCATGTGTTACTTAACGCTCAAGTAAGAGGCTAGAGAATTTGGCCTTTTATGGTTGAGTTGCATTTACTTGGATGATCTGTGAGTGCCTTCTCTCTCTGCAATCTGGATTGGCAGTTTTTTTTCCTGGGTTTTCCATTTTGGTAGAGGAAACGTAGGAAATGAAGATGCTTGGTAGGACTTAGGACAACGACTAAGGACTTTTAAGTCAACTGAAAATTTGACAGACTTCTTCGTCAAGGTCTTTCTTTAAGGTCGGGTTACCGTGATGGTTAGGTGAGGCCATGAACTCGTCGGTTCTTTTTCCTTTTGCTTTTCTTTTTGCCTTTTACCGATGTGCTTATGTTCTTATGGGATTCCATCATCAAATTCACGGAACGTAATGCCACTGGACTCCATCCACTGTTTATGAGTTGCTTACATTTGTGGGTCAATTTAGTGGACCCTCTGCAAAGACAAGTAAGAGATGAATTCAGAGTGGATTTCCCATAATCGTTTTATGTAATTGAGTGAGATACCCATTGGGTTAAGGAGTAAAATTTGTTTGTCTTCCCATTGCATTACCATTCTTCCCCAAGCAAGTTTTTTCCAAATAAGATATTCAAATAGTCTATGAGGACCTCGATTCATCATCATTCTTCTTCAAAAAGGTCTTAAGGGTAAGCTACATAACTCTTTCCTCTTCTTTTTTCGTGATTGCTTAACATATAGCTGCAACCTACTTGTGGTTTGTCAGAAAAGAATGTGGGATTTATGAAATAACCATGGAGAACTCATAGATAAGTGATTATCCCAATGCTAATAAAGTTTAAGAAGTTAACACCCAAATAGGTTAACTATTTGTTTCTATCTATTATGAGCCACATAGTTTAATCTATGTTTGGAAAGGTCTTTAGTCAATTGGATTTCTTCCATTAGCTAACAACTTCTGCTGTTCTTACTGGTGTACAGCTGCATAACAGAATATAAGGGTTGTGCAATGTAAGTAATATGAATGTCTACATTGTATTGCAACTCAGGCTCTTAGCAAATGAGAGAATGCGGAAAAAGAATCTGCTCAATTTTGCGGGGATTAGGAAAAGCAGCTGAGTAAAATGTTTGATCATTTGGGTACTGAGAAAGATGAGGGAGAGTCAGGACTTTTTCTTGTTGTGTAGATATTAACCATATCACTCTTCCAGTGGCTCGATCGATGCTGGATCCTGCATATTGGATGTTTAAGTTCTTATAAATGCTCGAAATGTTTATTTTTATTGTAAGAGAGGCCTGTTTTAGACTATCTGTAATATCTTTTCCATTTTCATTTCTTTCCCTTTTTGGTTAGAATCTGAAGTTGTTAGGGTGTTCTTTTTCCTAAAATTACGTGGTAGTAACAAGAAAGAGATAGTTGTTGCCAAAACATGTGTAAGGTTTGGAGATAGCTTTATATTGACTTTCTTCCATTTTTTTTTATTTTTTGGTCGAATACTTTCTTCCTTTTGACTAACTCTTTTCTTAATGTTTTACAGATAAATGCATTTATCCATTGCTTTGTGGAAACCCGGAAAATCACCTCATTGTATGACATGCAAAGAGCAATCTGCAAAAATGAGGGCATTGAACGATTTGAAGAGCTTGAATTGGGCCCTTTTTTGCGATATCCGCTTGTTATGTATTACTTTTCAGTGAACAGCGATGTGACTGAAGTGTTCGAGATAACTAGTGAGGAGATTGTGTATTACCTTGGTGAGTTCTTATTTAAACGCAAGAGTGGGAAACGCAAGAGTAGAAAACCCGTTGAGATTGGGGACCTTCTCAGTTTTATAGCAAAAGAGAAATCAGTCTCAGGAGCTGAAAAGCTTGGAGTACGAATTCGGAACTTGGGGTGCGTATTTTTTGTTTTTAATTTGTTTAACTAATAACAAAGTTATGTAGGATAGAGAAAAGAACTAGAAAAGCTGATTTTGTACGCAGACTTCACTGCTTGTCTTTGCCATTCTTGTCATTTGACTCTTTTTCTCATTGCTTCATCAACCACCATATAAGCTTAGAGAAGTAAGTATTTCCAACTTCTTGAGAATTGTTTTCTGTAGCTAAAGAATTTGACTCCTATTGGCTATTGCAAATGTTTCTCCCTATATCCTTTATGCTTGGTTGTCGATATATCTTTTCCATAGTTTATTTGGATTTTTGGACACTAAGATCAGTTGTTGCATTTTTCAAATTATCGAAGGACTAGAGAATCTAGCTTAACTAGAGGTAGTTTCAATGGCTTTGAATGTTTATTTCTACAACTTGATTTTACTGGTGTTTTCCAGATTCTAATTGCTTGCTTAACAAAGTTGACACTAGATTTTAGCTTTGAATTCTTCAGAGTAACGGCAGAAAGTAGTTTAATTCGATTATTTCATTGTTTAGCGCTGCTTGATAGCTACTTTTCATGATTAGCACATGCAAAGAAGCCTTTTCGAAGTGAAAATTTCCCCATTTCAGTTCACTACTTAAAAGTTGCCTTTATTATGCAGCACTCCTGATTTTGTGTGCTAAATTCTCATAGGATGAGCAGTTAAACTTGATGATTGCAAAAGGCACAGCTTCTTTATGCGATGTAGCTTCGTATAGTTGAACTTGTTTAGTTGAGGATTTTCTATTTGGCAAACATAATAACCTTTTATCCTTTAGTGAATTATAAGAAAATGGGATGAACAAGAAATGGATTTAAAAGAAATCCAGGGTCAAGTTGCGGTTTTGAGAATATAAAAACAACTCCACTTGCTGATCTGAGGCACTGAACTAATTGTAGAAACCAAATCTTTTGTGTTCATCAGACATGCAGATGAGTAGTCTGCCTTTGGAGTTCGAGTCAATCAATGCGTCCCAGTGAATGGTCTATGCATCTTTAAGTGTATCTCCTGTTTGTTAAAACAATACACAACTGATGCATGGAAAGCTTGGTGGGGCATGCTGGGTAGGGACCGTTGTACTTGCTTCAGACACATGGTGGCGCATGGTGGCCTGGAAAGAGATGGTTATGGGTTGGGGAACAATTCTCAATGCTGGGGCAGGGGTAGAGACAATGGATGTGATCTCTGCCTTACCCTTCTGATAAGAAACTACCTGTGTCATGCAATACTTTGAACGCTTTAACTGGCGGCTCTGGTAGGGTGTTTTAGGGGGGTTGCAAACATGCTAGTGGAGTATAGAGTGAGTGAGGACTGCAAAGAGAGACTTTAAGGTATAAGGAACCTGTCCACTTGCATCATCGGACTAATCATCATGTGAACATATGCTTCTGAATGGATATAGGTATATTCTGAGCTTTGAATTTCTAATATGACCACCTTAGCTTCACAGGTTATTCTAATCCAGAGTGGTTAGTCATTCTTGAACTCTCTCAATGTGTCAAAGCCATTTGGCATTGTCTTTCCTGTTGTCCAAAGATTGCTACCTAGAGGTGGCACATTAGGTTATGGCTCCTTGAAATATATCAGATTAGATGGTAAGTCAAAATGAGGGATCAACCAGAAATTGCTCGTTGTGCCATGATGATAATAAATTATAAAGAGAGTTCAATGCAGAATAAATATTCTTGATGGTGACGATTGTGAGCTTCCAATGCATTTAGGTGTATCATGTTCTGTAGACCTTGTTGTCTGCTGTATCAACTAAATTAAACTTGTGGTTTATGAGTGAAGGCTTCAGTAACTGTAGGTCTTTTCATTTTTGTAGGCTTCATATATCCTTTATCTTAGATGCAAAGAGATCGGAAGCAACATGCTCGAGGACATTTTTGAAGGAAGATTCTATTGGCAAGGACTTAAATTTCGTTTCTTCAAGTTCAGATGATGAAGATGGTGATGACTTAAATGAAGATAAAAAGCGCGATGATGATAGTTATCAAGACAAAAAATCAGGCCAAAACATGCTTGTTGATGCATTTGTAAGTTCGCAGATTATTGAGAGCGAAAATCTCACTTACGCAGAATGGCTTAAAAGAGACATGGAAGAGCGGGACAAGATTCTGATGGATAGAGCCAATTACACAAAAAAGGGTAGAAAAAAGAAAGGTGCTACACTGGTTCTGGAGACTAGTACTATGAGAATCTTCATGAAAAAATGGAAGGAAGCGTGTCGAGCATGTTCTCTTCCTGTGGTAAGTTCATGGTTTTCATTCCTTGACATGATTGATGCCATTAATTAACGAGCTTCCGTCTACAATCCATCCCTAGCTTTTTGGGTTTTGGCTATTGAGCATCTCTTGAAATGAACAATAGTAATATTCAAGTGCTTCCACTGTGAATTTTTTGGTTGAATTCGTACAATCACACTCCTCTTTACATTGACAATCCCTCAATTTGCTCGATTGTTCTCTATCATTCTCAACTGCCAATACCATTGGGTTACAAGTAGGGTCTTTTGTCTTTTTTATGTCTGTGGTCATAGTTGAAACGTTTTTACTTTTGGTTGCCTTATAGCTAGGTTGTAATATAGTTGTTAAGGCTAGAACATAATACTACTGTGATAGTTATTATTTTGCTTAGTTTGACAAAATAGTAGTAAAGGAATAGAGATGAAAGATCTAAGATGTCTTTACTCTATAGTTTATTTTTACTCTTTAAATTATGCATAGTATGTAATTATGTATCAACGAACTACATATAGTATTAGTTTGTTTATATATTTCATTTAATATCTTAATTATTTTGCAATATAATACCAGTAATATAGTTACATTACTTTATGTATAATTGTATGTAACTATATATGATTTGTTAGAGTTAAATTGAATAATTGATTATACGTTGTTAATACTACTATTATATAGGTATAATGTTTAAGTATTAGATCCTGCATGATTTCAGAGTAACTTAGCAAATCTTCTACAATCAGACATAAATTTAATTATGTAATTAACTATTATTTCTATTAATGAAGTTATGTGTATGACGTAACTTTATCAGTTATAGCAATGTTCTTGAATTGAGATTTAAATTGTGAATCATAAAGCTCATTTTCTGAATCATGAATCGAACCAAACCATGAATCATAAAATTCAATAAGTAACTTTAGAGTAACTTAAAAGGAAGGATATTTCACTGAAGGCTACCTATTAGTTGCCAAAATACAAGAAAAAAAATGCAATAAGAGATATAAACACATAATATTGAGGAAAAATCATGCGATTGTTTCAGATGAACCCAAATGATCGATGTAGGAAATTCAAATGTCGCATTTGTTTGTAAAATTGTGAGATGCAAACATTCACAACATGGAATGTGCGTAAAGCATAGTTGTTAAATCGATACATATTGTGAATTAAAATCTTAAATATATGATTCATGAGTCGAAGATCGAATCGAGTCATAAGATTCGATGAAGTACCTAAAATAAGTATTTTGTGTCATAGACATTTATGAATTGTACAAAAGAAATATAGTAAGATATAGAATTTTGAGTTAGAATTATGGAAAAAGAAATAATAATTATGAGAGCATGTGATGATCCCCATGTATAAAAAGTTATAATTAATTGTTACCTTGACATTCATTATAAAGGGCAAATTTATTTTTTCAATCATTCTATAACTATGAAAAGTCCATATATCATAAAATATGAATAAGTTACATCATTTTGATAGGTAAACATATAAAAAACTGAATCAACTGATATGTGTTGGATGGTAGCGTTGTAGTGAATCCCATATATTAGCTTATGATTCAGGTGATTAGCGATTTACCCAATAGAAACGCATCGCTAGGGCCTCTAATCATATCGAACCGTATGATGAATCAAGAACAAGATGATTCAAATAAGTACGGTTTAAAGAATAATGCCAAAACTTATGGGGCCCAGTAATCGCAATACATAGTCTGACTATGTCATATTGAATTGTGTCACATCTTGTGGAGTTGTATCGAACGTAAGTTTTGTTTGCCATTCCGATGCATCTTTGATTCATAACTATGAATTGAATTGTTTAGTATGTTAATCGAATTGAATCATACAATTCAAATTGTGAACCGTACAATTCTAGCAACACTGGTTATAAGATACTATATTTATATTCATATAACATGATAATAGCAATTATTTATTTCTTAATTTATTAATCATTAGTATAGTAGTAATCATATTTATATATACGAGATTCCTTAATTTAAATATCGGCATTAGAATTAGTATAATCATCATTAAAAATATGACTAATGATGTTATACTTAAGAGTAGCTGTGTAAGTAAAATTTTAATAATACACTACGAGTAAAGTGAGAGAAAACAGAGTTGGGCACTTATGGAATAACTGTTATGGCTTTATTGTAATAGTTTTGGCAGTTATAGGGCTGGTGCAACCACTATTACTGCAAGCAAACAAACTAATATGCACTAGACTTGTAATATAATAGACAACTGTGCCTGAATGCTTTGTATCTGATTAAGTCATATTAATGCATTTTGACTGCTTTGGCATTCATACTATAGGATACTTGGCACTTCAACTCCAAATATGTTCTTTCAGAATTTTAGAGGTTTATATGCATTTCTTTGGCCTGTCACCACCTGGATGCTGGATCTAGTCATAGGTTGATGTTATGTTTTATCCTCTTTCATATAATTAATATCAGCTATAGGAAACAGGAAGAGATTGATACACCGTCTCTCCTGCATTAGTAACTTCAAGCTTTCACCATCATGGCTCACTATACAAAATGCATGAACTACAGACATACAAAGAATTTTGTACTAGGTATATAATGTCAGAAAGCGTCTCAAGGCAGTAGATTGGGTGGTTAAATAGAATTCAGCATGCACAGCTTCTGAAACAAGTTCTACATCTTTTTAGGTCATCGAGGAAATGCTAAACAAGTACGTGCTTCACCAGAAAAAGCGACGCAAGATGGGCACCATGCTTCCAGCATATCCCTTGATTGGGTTGTTGAATGTCGCTGTGAGTTGACCATGATTTTCCTTATTTATCCTTTGGGCTGTATATCTTTTGCGTTTCAAAGTTCAGTTTCAAATTGACAGTAAAAGCGGATCTCACTTTCCCCTGAAAGGCATTACCTGTGAGATTTTATGGGATCACTGTCAACTATTTTAAAAGCTTAAGCTAATAATGAAGGCGTGGTTTAATATCTAAATATTCTACACTCCCCCTCACTCGTAGGCTAGTCTTTTGCTTAAGCCGAAAGCGAGGAAATATGTAAATAAGGAGACAAATAGGGCCTGGAAAGATTTGAACTCGGGACTATGTGGGACTACTGTCAACTATTCTAAAAGCTTAAATTGATAGATGAAGGTGTAAAATCTAAATATTCTAACATTACCTATTTTTTATTTTGCACCTTGACTTCTATGTGCTGCTTGTTTCTGCTTCTTAATTTGTTATTCTCCGCAAAGTTAAGTTTGTAGAGGAGCCAATGAAAGTAGGATATGAAGCTATGAGGGAAAGACGGTTGAGGGCAAAATCGGAGAGGGTGTATGTCTTGTCTAAACATCTAGATGTTTAGCTGCTTCCATCGTTTTTGTTAGCAGAATAATAATCTATTTTATTGATCAGAAAGTACGATATATATACACATCAAAATCCCAAAGACCATTATACCCTTTTTTTACCCTTTAACACTCCCCCTCAAGCTGGAGCATGGATATCAAGCATGCCCAGCTTGTTACAGATATACTCAATCCTACTTCCCCCTAGAGATTTGGTGAAAATATCAGCTAGTTGTTCACCGGTCCTAACATGACTAGTAGAAATAACTCTAGCTTGAAGTTTCTCACGGACAAAGTGGCAATCAACTTCGATATGCTTGGTACGCTCATGGAAAACTGGATTTGAGGCAATATGGACAGCTGCTCGATTATCACACCACAACTCCATTGGCGCAGGGTCTTCGAATCCAAGTTCAACTAATAATTGACGCATCCAAACTAGCTCACAGGTAGCTTGAGCCATAGCTCTGTATTCTGATTCTGTACTTGATCTAGCCACAACACTTTGCTTCTTACTCTTCCAAGATACTAGGTTTCCTCCTACAAAGGTACAATACCCTGACGTAGACCTCCTATCTATTAGAGATCCTGCCCAATCAGCATCTGAGAAGGCTTCCACCCTTCTGTGACCATGATCCTGATAAATGAGACCACGACCGGGAGCTTTCTTCAAGTATCTCAAAATTTTGATTACAGCAGCCCAATGTGAGGTACGGGGAGAAGACATAAACTGACTCACAACACTCACCGGAAAAGAAACATCAGGTCGAGTGATAGTCAGATAATTTAGCTTTCCAACAAGTCTTCGATACCTCTCCGGATCATCCAACAGCTCACCATCCTCTGCCGTCAATTTAGAGCCCACTTCCATTGGTGTATCCAGTGGTTTAGCACCTAGCATACCTGTCTCTGTAAGCAAATCCAGAACATATTTTCGTTGTGAGATATAAATACCTTTCTTCGCCCGTGCTACTTCGATACCCAGAAAATATCTAAGAAGACCCAAATCCTTTGTATGAAACTGCTGTTGCAAATACCTTTTCAACTCTTTAATCCCTGTAGAATCATCTCCAGTTATGACAATATCATCCACATAAACTACAAGGAATATCCGACCAGCTCCAAAAACTCGATAAAACATAGAATAATCTCCAGTACATCTACACAACCCAAACTGGAGTACCGCCTCAGTAAACTTCCCAAACCAGGCTCTGGGAGACTGTTTCAAGCCATATAAAGATTTGTTTAAGCGACAAACATGACCAGACTCCCCCTGAGCAACAAACCCTGGTGGTTGCTCTATATACACCTCTTCCTGTAAATCTCCATGAAGAAAGGCATTCTTTACATCGAGCTGAAACAGAGGCCAACAAGCAGAAGCAGCCAAAGAAAACAAAAGACGAACAGAGGTCATCTTAGCCACCGGAGAAAAAGTATCACCATAATCAACCCCATAAACCTGTGCATACCCTTTAGCAACCAGTCTAGCTTTGAGACGAGCAAGAGAACCATCAGGGTTAACCTTAACAGTATATACCCACTTACATCCAATGGCTGTTTTCCCTGCAGGCAAAGGAACAAGATCCCAAGTCTGATTTTGGTCCAGTGCCTGTAATTCCTCTTCCATAGCTGCCCTCCAGCCTGGACTAGATAATGCTTCAGCAACAGTTTTAGGAATAGGATGATTATCAATGGTCATTAGACTAGCTCGACAAGAGGCAGATAAACCAGAATAGGAGACAAACTGGGCAATAGGGTGTTTGGTACAACTACGAACTCCTTTGCGATGAGCAATAGGAATATCGAGATCAATATGTGACTGACTTACCTCAGGTTGAGAAGACGAAGTAGATGAGATAGGCTGAGGTACATCTGCAGGGGGCTCCACATGCTGACGAGGACGTCTACTATAAACATACTGGACAGGTGGAGGAATAACTGGAGAGTCCGAAGTGGGTGTTGATTCCATAATAACATATTTTAAGGAATCATCATCCACTGTAGGAGTCTCCATCGAATTATCAAAATAGACAGTAGACTCGAAAAAGGAAACATCTGCAGTGGTGAAGTACTTATGCAAAGAAGGACAATAACAACGGTAACCTTTCTGTGTACGAGAATACCCAACAAAAATGCATTTAAGAGATCGAGGATCAAGTTTGGAAAGTCCTGGACGATGGTCACGAATATAACAAACACAACCAAATATACGAGGTGGCAAATGAAACAAAGGGTCAGAAGGAAAAAGAAGAGAGTGAGGAGTGGCACCCTTAAGAACAGAGGACGACATGCGATTGATAAGATAACATGCTGTCATAACAGCATCAGCCCAAAAGGATTTATCTACCTTCATTTCAAACATCAAACAACGAGTAATTTCTAACAAGTGACAGTTCTTCCTTTCGGCTACACCGTTTTGTTGTGGTGTATCCGAACAAGAAGATTGATGAAGAATGCCCCGTTGGGACATGAATTCAGAGAATGTTCTAGAAAAATACTCCTTGGCATTATCACTTCGAAGAATGCAGACAGAAGCAGAAAATTGAGTATGTACTTCATTAACAAACGCACAAAAAATAGAGAATAATTCAGAACGACTTTTCATTAGATATAGCCAAGTGGCTCTTGAATAGTCATCTACAAAAGTCACGAAGTACTTGAAACTCAACTTTGAAGAAGTAGGACATGGACCCCAAACATCAGAATGAACTAAAGAAAACGGCCGAGAAGCCTGTTTATTGACTCTTGGACTATAACTAATACGATGCAATTTTCCAAACTGACACGACTCACACTCAAAACTAGATAAAGAATGAAACCGAGAATCAAGTTTCTTCAAACTTGCTAAAGAGGGATGTCCCAAGCGACAGTGAACTTGATGTGGAGAAACTGCTGAACAAGCGACACTGGTAGCATTATCAAACACATATAGTCCCCCTGACATATGTCCTTTACCAATCGTCTTCTTCGTCTTCAAATCCTGAAAAACACAGGAATCAGGATAGAAGGTTATAGAACAGTTATATTCTTTGGTAAGATGACCAACAGACATAAGGTTAAATGGAAAATTTGGGAGGTACATGACAGAGGATAAAGATATGGAGGATGTCAGTGGTACTGTGCCTATCCCTTTTACTGTGGACAGAGAGCCATCAGCTAATGTAACACTAGACGAAGACTCGTGAAAGACAGAAAAGATACCTGAAGATCCAGTCATATGATCGGTAGCACCTGAACCAATGACCTAGGGGCGAGAGGTAGATGAAAGACATGCTGTTGCATTACCTGTCTGAGCAAAAGTAGCTGTGGAAGAGGAAACTGGCTGAGAAATCTGGAACTGATTGTACCTAGCAAGTTCCTCTTCTAACATTCTAATCAGTGCTCCTCCTTCAGAAGACTGCGAAGAAACACCCAACTCTACTGCATTGGCTACATTAGCAACAGCCGAATGAGGGGGCTTTCCATGAAGCTTATAGCAAAAACGCTGAATATGTCCGTGCATACCACAATAATGACATGTTCGTGCAAGTCCGGTATTACTCCCTTTGTCACTAGAGATGCTACCGTATGACTGTGATTGGCCTCTATTGAACCCACGGCCACTACCACCACTATTAAAGCCACGACCACCACGACCTTGACCACCACGACCTTGACCACCACCTCGATTTCCTTGGACTGCCAAGGCAGAACTATCACCTGTGGGGGATATATCCTTAGATGACTCATGTGAAACCCTTAAGACCCGAGAAAAGGTCTCCGTTAGTGAAGGCACAGTATTTCCTCCAAGAATTTGTGAACGAACTGCATCGAACTCTGGTCCAAGTGCTCCCAAAAATCCCATAACAGCCAATTGTTCTCGTTGCTCCTGCATCGTCTTAACATCAGAGGTAATTGGCAAAAGATGATTAAACTCCTCATACATTTGTTTAAAATCAGCAAAAAATTGAGTAAGAGACCGATTCTTTCTGTCAGCTCTAAAGAAATCTTGGGAGACTTCATAGATCCTTGAGAGATTATTTTCCCTAGAATAAAGGACATTCAAGTAATCCCACAAATCCTTAACAGTAGTGGCATGTGTAACTAAGGCAGCCACATGAGATTCCATAGAATTCCACATTTGTCCAAGAATTCTGGCATCCATGGTATCCCATTTAGTATCAGCAGCAGTTCGTGCACCTGTCAAATGGTGATTTTGCTCTCTTCCGGTCAATACTATCACCACAATTCTCTTCCAATGCTGAAAGTTGGTGACCCCAGCTAATTTTTCCTCAGTCAAACGATTAGAAGATGTAGATATGACTTCAGTCAATACTCCTTTGTTCTTATCTGCCATAATCAAACACTCACACTAAACCAGGAACAAAGCTCCACAACCTATCACAACACTGATCACCAACCAAATCAAAAAACGTTCAACCTCACGTAAATCAGAAAACCAACACCAGTCGAATCAAACCATACACTTCAAAATGATCGACCAAATCCGAACCAATCAACACATCAGTAGTTATACGCAACAGTACTCAGCCCCCCCTCTCAATCTACATGTATAGCACCACACGTAATCAGCCAATTAGCCAAACCAACATCACATCCAATCATTCAAATCAACATACACAGCAATAATCTCCCTTCCCTCAAGCATATCAGCAACCAAGTCAAACTTTAGAACACATTCACCTTTTTTTTTTTTCGATTCCACTTCAATCAGCAGCCATCAGAAGGGGCCGCTCCTCATCTAGTGACGTCAGAAGACATCGAAGTGGGTCGCCTGGCTTGGAAACCTTCGATCGACGCCTGGAGGACTTAAATCGGCGCCAGAAATGGGGTCGCCGGGCTTGGACGACCTCAGATCTGGCTTGTCGGAGCTTCGGCGGCCCTGGACGACCTTAGATCTGGCTCGTCGGAGCTTCGGCGGGACGCCGGGATGAGGTCGCCGGTCTTGGGTTCTACGGTGGATGAGGTCGCCGGCCTTGGGTTCTACGGTGGTTGGTGGTGGACGACGGTAATTTTAGGGTTTAGGCTCTAATACCATGTTAGCAGAATAATAATCTATTTTATTGATCAGAAAGTACGATATATATACACATCAAAATCCCAAAGACCATTATACCCTTTTTTTACCCTTTAACAGTTTTGAACCAAGAACGTACTCTAACTGCTCCAAAAATTTTAATCTTCTTAATAAACAAGTGGTAGCAAGTTGATCTACCTTAAGGACCCTTCTCATTGAGCAAACTTGTGGTATGATTATAGAATCTTCCTCTGACATAAAGGAATAGCAAGTTGTTCTTGTTTTGGAGAAACTTAATTAATCTGTGTTCCTTGGAGTTGCTGATAGAGAAATGTTTAAACTTGATACCTTTAGTTAACTATTTATCAAAGGCTTCTTCTTTTGTGTTATATAATGATTTTTTCTTTTTTTTGTAAATCCTGGTACATTCAAGTATTCAGGTATGTCAGTTACAAGTGCAACAGGAACACATAAAAGAGGGGATAAGTACAGCGCAAGTGCCATAACTTTTGTATGGAGGACACTTAAGTGCCATAACTTTTTTTTGGCTCACTTGAGTGCCATAACTTTCAAAAAAATGGTCACCTAAGTGCCACTTACGAGCTGATCGTGAGGGCCCGAAACCGCGGCTTTTTCGGCCGAACGGTGACCTTCCCGGCGAGGCGAGCACCACCAGCTCTAAGAGGGGGCGTCGGCGAATCATTCCATGGCCTCCGTTCGTCTCGAAATTTCCGTTTTAGCCTCCGTTGACGAAGGTAAAAATGCTTCGTAGTCACATTTATCGAGCCGATTTGTGTGACTATGAAGCATTTTTACCTTCGTCAACGGAGGCTAAAACGGAAATTTCGAGACGAACGGAGGCCATGGAATGATTCGCCGACGCCCCCTCTTCAATCTAGTGGTGCTCGCCTCGCCGGGAAGGTCACCGTTTGGCTTGAAAAGCCGCAGTTTTGGGCCCTCACGACCAACCCCTCTGACAAGCTGGTCGTGAAGGCCCGAAACCGCAGCTTTTCCGGTCGTGTGTGACTACGAAGCATTTTTACCTTCGTCAACGGAGGCTAAAACGGAAATTTCGAGACGAACGGAGGCCATGGAATCATTCACCGACGCCCCCTCTTCAAGCTGGTGGTGCTCGCCTCGCCGGGAAGGTCACCGTTCGACCGGAAAAGCCGCGGTTTCGGACTCTCACGATCAGCTCGTAAGTGGCACTTAGGTGATCATTTTTTTGAAAGTTATGGCACTCAAGTGAGCCAAAAAAAAGTTATGGCACTTAAGTATCTTCCGTACAAAAGTTATAGCACTTGCGCTGTACTTACCCCCATAAAAGAGGGATTAAGAAAACAGAAGAAAAGAGAACCATGATAGCTCTCTCTGATCCTTATTAATGGTAGCTTTTAGCTTAGAGAACTGCAGTTCTTGTTCCTCAAAGATTTGATATTCTGCCTTATGCATAAAGGAGGAGACCTCCGCATCTCTTTTCCTCTTTCTTTCCTTGGCCCCACTTCCAGCACTTGTGGAACCTTTTGACAGATTGTGGCATAACCCGAGAAATTTTAGACAATGATATGAAGTTGGATCCAATGTCTGTTGCTTCTTGACAATGAAGCAGAAGATGATCCACAGCTTTTCCCGCAAAAGTAACATCGACATGCTTTATCAGTTTGAGCCTTTGAGGTAGTCTCACATTATAACCTGTTAGTATATCGTATGAGTATGGCTTCCAGATTTCGCTGAAACAAAAACAAGGTTTTTGGAGGGAGCTTTGACGTCAATATAGCTTTCGTGGGAAAGAAATATTACTCTTATTTGTCAAACAATAAATCTGTACAATCCAATCCCCCATTTAGCAAATTTACTTTACAAATCAAATAGGATGGCAGCAGATCTTCTTATCTTCTGCAATAGCTAATAATTGTGGATAATTTCACAAAGTGAATTATTGTGAAAACATAAATCAGCCCAGATTTTCACCTCTGTAATTAGTACCAAATTTGAAGCCAGATGAAGTTAGAAAATTGTTGCAGCTCTTACAGTCTTGTTCCATGTGAGTTAAGGATTACAGAAATGCGTAGTAGTAATCCCAGACCCTGATTCCATGAACTTGTCCTAATAGAGCTTGAGTGAAAATTCTAAAACTTTTCCACCGAAAATTATTTCCTAAATTTCTCAAACATGCATTCCCTCTGTAACATTCCTCCTCACCACCTTCCTTTCTAAGGAGAAGGGTTCCAAATAGCATCCCACTGGACCTGGTAAAAGTTATGAGCTCTAATAGTTACCCCGCCTTTCAATAAGAAAATCTGTTGGTGGCTTCATTTCTTCTATTTGGTATAGACATTACAGTGTATAAATGAACGTGCAGTGGAGAGCATCATCAATGGAGATAAACAGGTTTGATTTGGCTTAAAACACGAAGTGGCCTTTCTTTTTCAAAATTTGAATTAGAAAATATCATAAAGTTAAGTGCATGCCGCAAGATTTAGAAAAGCAAAAAGTAAAAGTAAATTCAAACACGCCTAATTTAAAGTCTTGTGGTGAAGCAAGAGAGTATTTTTCAGATCGTCTGAACTTCTGAATTTGTGACGAATGGCAGGAGTACTCCTTCAGTGGCTTTATTACATTGCAGTATCTAAAACATATGTGGAAGGGCTATTTTTTTAGCAAACTTCTAGTTTAAAACTTTGTTGATCTTTTTTATTGGTTGGACAACATTTTATTTATTTATTTATTTTATACCATATCATGAGTTTGTAGGAGTCAGCTTTCATGGCTGCTCTCATGATTGTATTACCAGCGGGTTACTTATTTTTCCTGATTGCAGGTAACTTGTATCAAATGTGGAATGTTGGAGGATGAATATGATGCTATTGGCAAACAAATGTTGAATGGAATCAATCTGCCAACCCCCCTGCCTGTAAGCAAAGATACACAACCAAGTTTAGAGAATGCATCCGACAAGGCCAGGCACAGTGAAGATACAAAAAGTATCTTCTTGAAGCCTGCATTCCTGAGTCATTTATCCATTATTGGTTCTTATTTGCATAATTGTGGACGATACAGTTAAACAGTTGTCTGAAAGCCTATTTTTTTGTACTGTTCCCTCTTTTCTTTGTTCTTGCATCAATCTAACTTTTGTTTTTACTATACCCTGCACACGAGTACATTAGATCTTGCTCTAGGGTAGTGTTATAGAGACTAGCAAGCATAATTGGCTTTGGCATGAACATACGATGCCTTATTAATTTCACATGGAGCAATATGCAACTTGCAACTTTTTATCATTGATCTTGTATAAATCGCAAGGTTATGTAACGGAATAGAAGTAACAACCATTTAAAATAGAGGAGATGAGTGGCTTTAAAAATTGAAATAGTGGGTTGCTTGAAATACTTCTAGTTACCAATATCTTATTTTATTTGGGGTATTCGAGGAACTTTACATTTCAAGGTTTTACCTGTAAAATTGAAAACAAGGGTTGCTTGAAGTACTTTTGGTGGAATCAATATTCTGGCTTCATTAGGTGTATCTTACTTGGTCACTTCATCTGATAGCCAATGATGTGTGTAATTGATTTAGTTTATATGTGTAAGCTTTGCTAACTAGAATGGCATCCATTAATCTCGTTTCTTAAAATATACATCTGATAAACATAATGTGCCCATTACTTTCATCTATAAGGACAAAACAATATCTTAACTTGGTAACAACGCACATGCCAAAGTTTTAAATCCCAGGGATCCCTCCTATTTTTATTTTTCTTTCTTTCCTATTTATATATCATTAAATTCCTGTCATCCATTCTTTGTTTGACATTGTTACATTTGCATGCTGTGTTTTTTGTGATACGCAACAGGGAGGGCTAAGGATATGCCCGATATAAAATATAGATGAGTTTTGCTGATTGCTTAAGCTTTTGGAAAGAACAATCATTTAATATCATTTTGCAAATTTGACAGGATATTGTAGGTGTAGATATATGGATGGCCTGGATTTGAAGTACTTGTTTGATTAAATGAGTGGTTCAGATAAAATTTAGACAATTGGAGGCTTTTTTTTGTTTGGTCAATTTTTGGAGACTTTATGTAATGACCAAATATGTATTTAAAAGTAAATGATGCGGAAAGACATCGCTTCATGTTTGTAAGAACTTCATTTCAGGAAAATTTTTACCATTGATGGTGGCTGTGTGATCAATATGGAATAAATGTTTGAGTTAGAGTGTGTGCATGATTATGGAAGAAAGTTGGACAGACGACGTGCATGAGTTGACTGGAAGCTATGGAGTTGACTATAAATTAGAACGAAGTTGTAGGACTGAATTTATAGAGGTTTATCTTGTATAGACATTTGGCTGAAATTTTACTCATCTTTACATCTTTAATTGGGCTACCTTGCCCTGGTAGCTTTGAATATCATGGGCTATCTGCCATATATTAAGGCACTGACTTTTCAACTTTGGTTTGAGATATGTTCATGTACAGTTGACCCCATGAGCTTTTCAAGGGCAACAGACTGATTGATCTTTCGGAAATGTGCTCGATTGAAAATCTACCCAGGCGGCTTGTATGCTGCTGCGGCTTGTTTATTGTTCACCCTTATTATCCATATTTTTTTTGCTGAGATGTAACACACTTGTGCAGTTGCTGATGCTGAGGTGTGTTCTCATAGACGAGTTGTGACATCATCTGCTTTTTTATCAATTGATAGGTGTCACTGTTGAAGACATTGCCAGAGAAATTGGTGCTTATTTTCAGCTTGATCAGGAAAAAACGAGCAACAACAAATCAGTTCTGGAGATGAGAGTTAATTTGTTGAGAAAGCTTGTTGACTGTGACTCTTGGCTGGCAAAGCAATTTTTTGTTCATGAATTTGAGTCACTTGGTCATGGAGAGTTTTTTAGTTTCTTGACAGAACACATATCTCTTATGCCTACTGGGCTGAAACGGTTATTGAATGGTGACATATATGAGAAGTCCCACTTTGAGGTTTGCATGCTGCAGCATCAGTTGATGGTACTAATATCACAAGCATTGAATAGCTTGTGGGACAGTGAAGTAGTGACCAAACAGATGATTTCGACATTGCTTTTGAAGCAATTTCCTAATCTCAGTTTCAAAATGGAAGTTGGTTCAGTGGAGGATTATCTAAATATTGTTGGGGAGTATAGAGGTATCGCAATGTCAAAGTGTGTCCTTTTCTCTCAGACACTGATGGGTGCCCATGGTCAAGCTATGCCGGCACTTGATGATGATTATGCGGTTGAACTTGAAACCATTGGTAGAGGAACTGATGTCTCACAGAAAATAGGAAAATTGGAATCAGTCTCATCTCAGGATGCAATTGAAGTCTTACTAAGGGCGCCAATGCTGTCAGATTTAAGTTGTTGGTCACATTGGGACATTAAGTTTGCTCCATGTCTTGGCCCTCTTATAGGATGGTTGTTGAATGAAGTTAATAGAACAGACTTGTTGTGTTTACTGACAAAAGATGGTAATCTGATCCGGATTGATAGTTCAGCTAGCGTGGATTCATTTCTGCAATCTGTCCTTCAACTATCACCTTTTGAAACAGCGGTTCAGTTGCTCTCTTTGTTCTCAATTCTTGGGGGACAAAAACATGCTCCTCTGTCTCTTTTAAAATGCCATGCACGTCGTGCATTTGAAGTCATTTTGAATGATCGTCTGGAACATAAGGAAGTGACCAATAGTTGGAATTTTCAGATGAAAGAAAAAGCAGCTGGTATGTCAAAGCTGTTGGATGAAGTTTGTGCTAGTAGATCATTCACGAATTCCACTGGCACATTTAATGAAATGCTTGTTGCTTCAAGATATTTTCTTGAATGCCTCGGTTATTTTCCTTCAGAGTTTCGTACTTTTGCTGCTGATGTGTTACTATCTGGTTTGCAATCTGTCATTAAACACGTACCTTCAATTATATTGTCAGAATGTAAACTTCTGGAGGAACGAGTCATGCTTCATGAAGTGGGACTCTGTCTTGGTGTTGTAGAGTGGATTGAGGACTACCATGTTTTCTGCTCCTCTACTGTTGGTGAGATGTGTAAGCCCTGTGAAGCTCCATCATTCAAAGCTGACACTTCTAAGTCAAGCACAGGCTTACTGTCTGCTATTTACAATCCACAAAAATCATCTCCTGCAGAAGAAGACAAGATTGTGCTCTCTCTTGTTTCTAAGGGTCAGAGTAACATATGTAATGAAATTTGTCACAGTTCTGATAGTCCAGAAGTCTGCATAGATAAGAGTCTGGCACAAAATGAATCTGTTGAATACAAGGATGCTTACTTAATCATTGAATCTATCAGGCGAGAAGAATTTGGTCTTGATCCTAGTCTTTCTAGTACAGAAAGTAGCTTGTTGAAAAAGCAACATGCCCGTCTGGGGAGAGCACTTCATTGTCTTTCACAGGAGTTATACTCTCAGGATTCTCATTTTCTTCTTGAATTAGTAAGTTCACTGTTGTTTTTCATTGATCTTTGTTTTTCCTCTCCAGTAGCTGTCATCATTTAGCAAAATAGTACTGTGAGTTGACAATATATATTTACCCCATTGGATGCCCACTTATGCTTTTGCTTTAGTTGTTTGTTGATTCATGGTCAGTGATTATTTTTTGCGGTCATGTTGTTCATCCGTTCTTGTCAAGTTCCTTGGGTATTAATATGTGCCAAAACATGCAAGCCCAAACAAGGAAAACTGAGTTAAATGCCCGTCAATATTTCTCCAATAGCCTAAGCTGAATGTCTACACTTGGTTTGCTGAAGTGTCAAGCTAAATTAAGGAAGAAATGCCATTTCTGCCTAGTGACTACTAACTACCTTAGTGGAGCAATTAATGACATCATTTTGGCAATTGATTATTCACACAAACAAACAAAAACCTAGTCATATGCATAGGAGAAAGGCCTTCCTTTATCCATGGTGTGATATGTTAAAAGAATATTGTTTTTCTTTACTATGCAATGAAGTCAAATTACACTTATAGTATGTATAACAGCAACTTGATGGACTTTATTGTAGTTTCAGCAGTCAACACAAGCCAAAAATATTAAGGAAACTAATGACTACGATTAGGTGTGGCAAACTTTTCAAGTTTGTACTGAGGAACATGACATCTAGTTCAATTATGTGAAGAAAATATGAACATGAATGATTACAGCTTATGCTCCAAATTTCCATTTCTGCTCTTCAGGAAATCCTGTGATTTTCAATTTGATAAATCCGAATTCGGAAAATTTTGGAGACTGTAACTCTAAAAACCTGACAAAGCTTCCTTTGATTCCCCTGATTAGATGTCTTAAACTATTCTCTTTTATCTGCATTCCTCTGAACTTTTTGTTTTTGTGTTAGTTATCTTATATTATGATTGAGAGTCCACTTAACTTAACCAATATTTTCTCCCATATTTATTTTATCTATTTATGGAAGTTAGATAAAAGTTTATAGACAGGGATTTATGTTTTAAACTAGAAAAACAAAGCTGATTAAATTTCAATGCTCTAATGGGACTGGTTGTCCTTACTGTTGCTGCAGGTTCAAAATGCTGATGATAATACATATTTAGAAAATGTTGAGCCAGCTCTTGTATTCGTTCTTCAGGAGACAGGCATCATTATCCTGAATAATGAACGGGGCTTTTCTGCTCAAGACATTAGAGCATTATGTGATGTAGGCAATTCTACAAAAAAAGGAAGTGCTGGATATATAGGGAAGAAAGGCATTGGATTCAAATCAGTATTCCGTGTAAGTAAAGATGGCCTGATAAAATGCCATCATATCCTTCTCTTTTGGCAGACCCCGAACCTCTTTCATTTCAGGTCCGCAAAATGAGTTCGGGATTCAATATCTCCGTAACATGGATTTGAAGAAAATTTACAGAAAGGCAGCAATGAGATTGCACTATCATACGAATGTAGTCTAATTTCGTCTAATTGCTTAAGCTTTTGGGTTAGAATTTTTAATATGGTATAGCGCCAAGTCTAAATTCTTCATGCCCCTATTCCCCTAAATAGTATGCAAATATAGCTATCAATTGTCATTGCAAATTACTCCTATTGCATTCTGAAAGAGCTTCACCAAAAAAAGTTAAATTCTTCTGCAGGTTACTGATGCACCAGAGATTCATTCCAATGGGTTCCATGTAAAGTTTGACATAAGTGAGGGACAAATTGGTTTTGTTTTGCCAACTGTTATACCCCCTCTTGATCATAATGTGCTAAGCAAGTTGACATCCGCTAATTCTGTTCAGTTTGATACTGGCTGCTGGAAAACTTGCATTGTTCTTCCCTTCAAATCAGATTTGTTAGAAGGAACTGGAAGGAATAATGTCATATCCATGTTTTCAGATATTCATCCAGCCTTGCTACTGTTTCTTCATCGTCTGCGGTGTATTGCATTCAGAAATATGCACAATGATTCACTAATTGTCATGAGAAAGGAAACTTCTGGTAATGGCATCATTAGGGTTTCATATGGTACGGAGGAAATGAATTGGTTTGTTGCATGCAAGAAGTTACATGGGAATATTGGTCGTTGCAATATCCAAACAACAGAGATCGCCTTGGCATTTGGACTTAAAGAATCAACAGCTGGAAATTATATCCCGTGTCTTGATATGCAACCTGTTTTTGCATTTCTTCCTCTAAGAACTTATGGTCTGAAATTTATACTGCAAGGTGATTTTGTTCTTCCCTCATCTAGAGAAGAAGTTGATGGGAATAACCCTTGGAACCAATGGTTGTTGTCGGAGTTTCCTGATTTGTTTGTGAATGCGGAGGGATCTTTCTGTTCTCTTCCTTGTTTCAGGGACAACCTAGGAAAAGCTGTGACAGCTTACATGAGCTATGTTCCATTGGTCAGTGAAGTCCATGGATTTTTTTCGACTCTTCCCCGAATGATCATCTCTCAGTTACGCCACTCAAACTGTCTACTTCTGGAAGGAGATGATGCCACGTGGGTGCCCCCTTGCAAGGTTGTCCGAGGTTGGAATGAAGAGGCTCGAGTTCTTTTACCTGATCATTTGCTTCAAGAGCATCTTGGCCTGGGATTTCTAAAGAAAGACATAAGTCTATCTGATCCTTTGGCAAGGACATTGGGGGTCGAGGAGTATGGCCCAAAACTTCTACTTCAGATTATATCATCTTTATGCAAGAAAAAGGATAGCCTTCCATCAATGGGTTTGTCTTGGTTGTCTGTGTGGCTGAATGCAATTTATGAAATGTATGTGCATTCAGTGCAAGCATCACGAGACCTTGGAATGGGCACAGATATTGTAGAAACCCTCCGTAAGCTTCCTTTTATTCCTCTCTCTGATGGTACATTCAGCTCGGTTGATGAAGGTACGATCTGGCTGCACTTTGATGTATCTGGGAATGATGGTGAGCATGGAATGGATGCTTTCCCAATGTTATATGCAAAACTTCGCATTGTAAACCCTGCCTTCGTAACTGCATTGGATGCTGATATCTATCATGTAGACATGTCTTCAAAGGACAACATCATCAGGATGCTCCATATTGCGGGTGTGCAACGTCTATCTACACATGAAATAATGAAGATGCACATCTTGCCTTCTATATGTGATGACAAAAGTGCAAGTTGGAACAAGAATCTGATGACAGAATTTCTCTGCTTTGTGTTTATCCATCTACAATCTAGCTGCCCTAGTTGCCATGTTGAAAGAGATTTTCTGATATCAGAGTTGAGAAACAGAGGTTTCATTCTAACAAATCAGGGCAACAAAAGGCCGATTGAGGTACCGATCCATTATGGTAAAGGATTTGGAAGCTCTTTTGACCTCTGTAAATTGTTCAACAACATTCAAATGGAATGGCATGAGGTAGACACCATCTACTTGAAGCATTCTTCAACTAAATCTGTCGTCAATGGAAAGAAAAAGTGGAAGAGATTTCTTGAAGAAATAGGCATCACAGAGTTTGTGCAAGTAGTTAAAGTTGATCGGAGAATGGTTGATATGCCGGATACATGGTTTGGGAAGGCAGGAGTGGAAAGAGACCATGTCTCCTCAGGATCTGTAGCTGAAGATTGGGAATCCACTGAGTTGGATTATTTATTGTCCTTGCTGTCAGCAAGTGGAAATCGTGGTGGTTGTAAATTTCTCTTAGAGGTTTTCGATAAATTGTGGGATGATTGCTTTAGCAACAAAATCATAGGTTACTTTAACGATAAGTACAATGGGAATAGGACACCCTTTAAATCTTCATTCCTAAACAGCATCTGTGGTGTTCCATGGTTTGTTTCATGCATGGATGACAAACTTCACTATCCTAAGGACTTATTCTATGACTGTGATGCTGTGCACTCTATTTTGGGTTCTTTTGCTCCCTATGCTGTTCCAAAGGTTAGTTCCAGTATGGATTTGTTTTTGCTGATTGCTTTTGGTGCATCGAGAATGTCCAGTGTTAGACTCAGGTCTGAGCATTTGGCCATTGACTTCTTTCTTGCTCATGTTCTCATTGTCTAATTTCAGGAGCTCACACTCTTGATAGAGGGATACAATATGCAAATAATTTTGTCGATACCGAGATTAGTTTTAGGCCTACTAGAATCTACTTTATCTGTTTAATTTGGGTAATTGATTGTCTATTAAATCTTATGCACCTTCTCTGCATGTCCTTTTCCTTGGTCCTTTTGGGAATAATTGAAATGATCATGTAAATACCATTAAAGGTTTTTGGGCAGGAGCATTTGACTGGCTGGTCTTTGGGTAGGAATGTAAATGTAGACATCTTATGATTGGAAAACTTTACAAACTAATGGCACCTACTAGATTAAAGTAAACCCTGAAAAAGAAAACGAGAATGCACAAGAGGGAATAAGAGAAAAGAAGCAGTCAGTTCTAATATATCTCAATAGTGGTGGGATTACCTTGTGATTCAGGAACAGGATGAGGACTCATAATTTAGTTATTTTACGCATTTTATCAATGCAGAATTTTTGTCCTCCATGGTCAAAACTTAAGTGTGGATAGAACCTTGGAAATAGTGCTAGAGTCCATAAAAATAAATAAAAGTGCACTGAATTATGATTTTACCGTATTGTGGATATCAGCATTCAGGGGCCATCCTTGGCTCCATAATAGACTTAGTAACCTGCAGTAACTGCAAACATAACTCAGTCTAGGAAAGAAATAAAGTAAGGATTTTTTTGCTATGACCTGCAGCAATTGCTTGACTTGATATCAATGTTAATGCAGTGCGACTTTTTAATGTAATGCCGCCACTTGATGTTGGCACTTTGACTTAACAATTATAAATTATAATGCTCTGTTTTTTGCTCTGTGTCTTGATGTTATGCAAAATGACTGTCTACTAGAAATAAACCTGTCTGTTGAGGACTTTGGTCAATAACCATGAAAGGATTGTTCAACAGGCGAGAAGTGTGGCTCTTTTACATGATATTGGGTTTAAGACCAGAGTTACCGTTGAAGATGTTGTGGAAATACTGAGAGTCTGGAGAAGATCAGAGACCTCTTCTAAGTTTAGGTACTAAATCACATTTAAGGAAATTCTTTTTCTTTTTTTCTTATTGTTTGATAAGCAGTGAACGTGCTTAAAAGTAAAAAGGTAATTCAAGTATACAGGATGTTTGCAAAAATATAAAGCAGGAACAACACAGGAAATTCTCTCTTTACCTGCTATTGAAAATGTCATTTACAGCATAAACATTTGCTGTTCTCTGCTTTTGTTACTGGCCTGAGGTCTAAACTCGTCATTTCATTTCGTGCAATCCCAAATATCTTTCTTTGTTTAATTCATTTATTCACTATCTATGCTATACCGACTCTTCAGTTTTGGAAATGAAAATGTCAACTGATTTTGGCCAGCAAGTTATGGTAGCTGTTAACCGTATCATTCAGAGGGTTTTTTTTCCTGGCGTGGAGAAATGGAAACTATAATACGTCAAGATTGGCCCATACTGATTCTTGTATTGTTGCTTTTAATTTCATTAGTTTGGTATTTAATAAGATGGGTAATGGAACTTTCTTAGATAACACTATTTATTAAGTTGTACCTTTTCTGCTCTTTCTTTAACTCTCTTGAGGTCATTGCAAGGCTTTGATGAGGTTGTTATCTTCCCTTCCATCCAATCGTTTCGTGAACGTGCTTCTGATTCATTTATTTAAAATGTAAAACTACATCCTCTTTATTGGACTAGTATAATATATATTTTTTGCTCCAAATTAGGAAAAGCATAGCATGTTATAGGTATAAAAGAACTATCCTCCCAGTTACCAAAGAAAATGTTGCTTTTTTTTAAAACTGTTAAAAAATCAATCTAAAAGTTTAAGCTGTCCTCAAGTATGTATCTTAACAAAAGCAGTAATAACTTTACTTGCTAGTTTTTCTAGCTGACTCTTGGAACTTTAACAAGGTTTCATCTCTCCTGCTGTTATGATTGCTTGCAAGGTGCCATCTTTTGGCTCTATGAAGATATCTTGATAAATTGTCCTCCAATCTTTTGCCTGATTATTTAGCATGCTGGACTAGCCCCGTGTATGGTTCATTTGAAGAAGGCTTTCTTTCCTTGTTTCTACTGTTAAATTGCCATTCCACGAGATAGTTGACTTTTTCTTCTTCTCATGCCAGTGTTGCACAAATGTCAAAAGTATACACTTTCCTATGGAAAGAAGTTGATACTTCAAAAAAGAATATTGTTGAAGATCTCATCTCTGAGCCATTTATATTCTTTCCTTCTTTATGTGCCTCTGGGGCCAAGGAAGTTGTGTTGGGCTCATTTTTGTTGCCAAAAGAAGTTTGTTGGAACGATTCAATTGAGTTCTTGAACGAAATGGAAGAAAATGATTCCGAGTCTGGTGCAGTTGGAGCAAAGCATAGCCTGTTGAGCAGGACATTGTGCAATATATATCCAGGCTTGCGGGATTTTTTTGTCAATATATGTGGGGTTGACGAGATTCCTTCTTTCCAAGATCATTTTCAGAATCTGCTCCATCTATCAACTACCGTTTTGCCTTCACAAGCAGCAAAATATGTATGTACTACTACAAGTTGTTTATTTATAGTTCATTGAGGTGTCACTAAGTAGCCCATTTTTTGGCTTTATGCATCAGGTTTTCAAGGTTTTCTTGAAGTTGGTAGATGAACTGAAATGTGGAAAGGTTAGTTCTGAAGATACTTTACAAGTTAGTGGATATCTTAAAAAATCAGAATATACCGTGCTTCCCACATTTCGTAATAGATGGGTTTCTCTGCACCCTTCCTTTGGACTTGTGTGCTGGTGTGATGATGAGAAGCTAATGAAAGAATTCGGGATTTTGGATAAAATTGAACTTCTGCATTTTGGGGAGCTCGTTGATGATGAAAAGGAGATGATTTATGTCAAATTGCCTCTTCTCATGCATACTCTGGGGATTCCTGCATTTTCTGAGGTAATTTGCTCACTCACAACTCTATTTCGCAATGTATTATGGAAGGTTGTGTCTAGATTCGGGTAGGAACTAGGGAAGTATAGTTTTGAGGTCCACTTATATCCATTTTGCATTCACACAGTACTAATAATGCAATGTACTTGCCTGAGGGATTTTATCATGACATGTATGTTTTTGACAAGGATCGCTTTTTAGATGTAGCTTACCTAGCTTTGCTGGAATAATTTGAACCTTGGGTACAATAGGATCTTGTTTACGAGTAACCCCATAGCACTTTTTAACCGCACCTAATAAAAAAAAAAAACAAAGAAAGAAAGATCTTCATTTTCAATGCAATGGTTGTGCATAGCACGAGGACAACGGTGCTTTGGAAATGACGAAGTTTCTTTATTTGAATGTTTAACTAGTGGTCTTGGGGCACTCATTAACAAAATAATATAGAATAATCTACAGTGGAATATCCATGTGATGAGCAATGTCATGGACCCAATAATCTACAGTGAAGTGCTTAAAATGTTAAAGAATGTTTCTCAGCTATTTTTTTTCCTACACAATATAAATGCTTTTTTTTTTAAATGCGCTTTATTTACTAAATAGCTTTAGTGAAAAAGAACATATTTCTTGAATTGGTTGAACTTGTATTATTTCTTTACTAGCAATTCCATCACAAACACATAATTGGAATCACATGCTCGGGGACCACGAGACTGTCATGCAAACTACTCATCATCATATTTACTTTCTCACACTTAGCATTTATGCAGGTTGTAACTCGTGAAGCCATATATTACGGTCCAATGGATTCTAGCTCCAAGGCTTCTTTTGTAAACTGGGTTCTTCCTTATGCTCAGCGTTATATTTACTATGAACATCCCGACACATATGCCAAACTGAAACAGTCTGGATTTTATAATCTGAGTCATTTGCGTGTTTTCGTTGTGGAGAGATTATACTATAAGAATATCATAAGGGATTTGAACATTGCTTCTTTAAAGCGATTGGAGACCACATCGGTTCTTGAGGTATGTCCTAGGAATTCAGGAACGTTTTGGAAATTTTTTTGTTTCTTTTTTTAACCAAAGAACATGTAAAGCAACCTACAAGCATGGTACGGATGGCAGACATTTGGATTTCTTACCTTTAATTTCGTTATATGTATGTCTCTTGCACAGAATGAGAACATCACTTTGTGACACCTTGAGACTTCCAAATTGAAAGCTGATCCAACGCCAAAGCTTGTTGGGCTCATCTGATTCTCAACATGTTTAATCTGTTACATACTTGCAACTTGCATCATTCTGATGCTGGTGATGTTATTGTCTAGATCATTTCTATGGTTCATTGTGAACCCAATAGGGGGAATGTTCTTTAATCAAGCAGTATAGGACCAAATTCTTATGACGTAGAAGCATGAACTTCCCTCTTAAGTATTAAACTAACTCCTGATTTTGACAGGGCAATACTTTATACGTCACTCCAGAGTCTGATTCCCATGCCTTGTTCATGGAGATTTCTCGTCTATTCTTTGATGGTACTCCGAACATTCACTTGGCAAATTTTCTTCACATGATCACGACAATGGCAGAGTCAGGTTCTCAAGAGGAGCAGGTAGAGTCTTTCATCGTGAAAAGCCAGAAGGTGCCAAACCTACCGGGTGATGAACCCGTGTGGGCCATTTCCTCAGGATCTTTGTGTGAGGATGATGGATCACTAGAGAACAGCAGCTTTTCAGCAACAAGAGAAGTGCCAAAATTCTTTAAGGCCAAGAGAAGGGCAGGAGTTACCTCGACTTGGCCTCCTTCGGACTGGAAAAGTGCACCAGGGTCAGCTTCTTCTCCTTATAGCCAAGTTGAAACACAGGCAGTAACTGAAACTGCTAGTACTTGCTCGCAAGTGAAACAGGAGGATAGTCATGAATTAATTGGAGAAAGTGGTGGTGGCTATGAGGTGATTGTTGATTTTACCACTGAGGATGTAGCGGCAGTTTCTCCAATCGAACTTGCAGTTTCTGATAGAGCAACTGATTTCAGCAATTTGGATTCTTGTGCAGATGTCTCAGCTAATCAAATTGACACGACTCCAGTGTCTGATCTACCTGACTTGGATCCACCTCAGTTGATTGGGAAAACAATTCTCAATATCGGCATGCCTGATCCAGAACAAGCAATGTTAGTGGGAAAACTAGGAGAACGTGTTGCTTTTAAACATCTTGCCAAGAAATTCAGTCGGAGTTCTGTTAAGTGGGTCAATGAAGATAGTGAAACTGGTCTACCCTATGACATCACCATAGAGGATGGAGAAGGACTTCAATACGTAGAAGTCAAAACAACTCAATCAGAGGAGAAAGATTGGTTCTCCCTGTCAACGAATGAGTGGCAATTTGCAGATCAGAAAGGTCGAAATTTCAGCATAGCACATGTCATTTTGCTAGGCCATGGCAGAAACAAAATCAAAATATTTTCAAATCCAGCTGAACTCTGTCGCTCTGGGAAGTTGCAATTGGCCATTGTGATGCCCAGCTAGCCAATATGCACTTAGTGGCTCTGCTTGTGTCAAGCCTCCATTCCTTGATTAGGCAGTGTATGTAGTGACACCGAACAACCGGTAGAGCCGATGAGTATCTTACTTAGATACAGAGAAGTTTGGTTTTAATCTTTCATGGTTGGTGATGGAAGGAGATGCAAGTGACGTGAAGAGGTCATTCTTCTGTGACTTCTGAAGATGGTTAAGCTTTGTACAACTAGCCTTTAGAATGAGCTGCACAGTCTCTTAAGCATGATTGCGCAACTTGTGCCATGTAGTTATTTAGATGGACTTATATTAATCATCACATTTTTTGTTAATCTCTTTAGTTGTGGTTTTCGATAGTTAATGGCAGTCTTAATTTCCTAATTCATTTCGTTCTTGTACACATCTTTTGATTAGGTGAGAGGAAAGAGGAGGGAAAGCATTCAGAGCAAAGGGTATGAAAGAAAATTGAGGGGAGGAAAGTAAAATAATGAGTTTCACCAGCAGGAAACAATCTCTCCAAATTGGGGGAAGAGAAAATCAGTAACCTTTCGTTTCTAACCTTGATGGTAAGGTTCTCATCATTATTTGTGGGATAATTGTCTAATTATCTCGATTCACATTTCAGTTTCGTATTTACCTTCTTTCACTCATGTCCTTGCCCATCTAAATAAAGTGATGGTGTGCAATTTTTGTTGTAGAACAAAATGCGCCATTGGCAGTTGACCTGATGCATAGTATGGTATAGTAAAGTTCATTCATATAGTCATTATCAAAAGGGATGATAACCAATACAAAATACAAACATGACAGATTCTCATTCCTAGACACTATACCTTCAAAACAATGTATGATAGGGCGATCCCCGCATAGTTTTGCGAGTTAAAGCCTCATCCTTACGTAAGAGAGAGAGAGAGAGAGAGAGAGAGAGAGAGAGAGAGAGAGAGAGAGAGAGCTCCCAGTGACAAGGATGACTAAAAGAATTACAAGAGCTAAACGATGTGATTGAAATCAATGATGTCAGAAACAGAATAATCACATCCATTAGTAAGACTCTGAAGACACTTGACAGCAGGCAGATCCCCCATTCATAACCAAACTTGACTAGCAATAGAGGAAGACATCCCTGTCTAAGATTGCCAAAGACCCCATTGTGTCACCGTTAGAATCTAATGCATATGTGATTCTGTGGAAGCGACAAAGAACAGCAATAGATGTAATGAAGGACTGTCTTTTTGACCGACACACAAAAGAAGGGCTCACAAGAGCTTATAGTAACACTTCTTCCCAGAGAGCACTATCTGGTACCCCTTCCCACAGGGACAATTGAAATCAAGGGACAAGCAATCGCCAATGACTCCCACGCTCACGGCTTCTTGATTGTCCTCCTCCTCCTCGGCTTCTTCGCACTTTTCCTGACGCACAATCTGCAATTCGAAACAAATTAGAATGACCAATTTTTCTTCGAATCTTATTACATTGAATGATCATTGCTGCAGTAATTATTATGCGTAACCATAGTTCTACTTGAAATCCATGCGCATCGGACCTCTGCTGTATCAATGTTGCCTTGTTCATTTGGTCCATCCTCCTCGCCGGCTTCCCGCATCACATGATCCCACCACTTGCCCATCTCCTTAAGGCAACGCTTCATCCTCTTCAGTCTCTACATTGGTCAAAAAGAGAACCCAGATCAAAGAAAATGGCTTCCAAATCACCAAATCAGAGCCTGTGAGAAATCACAAACCCCTTCAAATGCTGTCACTTGATTTTTTTTTTTTAATTTGATTTTGGTTCGCTCAAGACCCAGATGACTAAAACTAGTATAATTTGCTCTATGTCCCCACTTGCACAACCAGAAAAAATGTCTAAAGACTATCATTTACCAGATGAACACAAAGACCAATCTTGCAAAATAAGCTTGAGATCATATACATGAAAAAAGTGTGATTTACGATTGACATGCATATAAACTATACCAAGAAAAGAATTACTGACTATTTCCATAGTCAGAGGGCATTAAAGAACCAGAGCATAATCAACCAGGAGTCAGTCGAATCGTGGAACGCGTATGATCATACCAAAATAAAGAAAAGCATTTTTCACCCATCAAACCAGAAAAAAACATCAAGAGAGTTAGAGAAGCCAACCCTGGAGTCCGGCCTCTCCTCGGCACTGCCTTGGCTGCCACTGGAGCTGGACCCTCTGAAGAACGAATTGATGGACCCCGGGGTCTGGTATGGGGTCGGGTCAGACACAGTCCTCTGCAGTGGCGGCTTGGGTGGAAGCGAAGACGAAGAGCTTCCTCTCGCCGGGGAAGGAGTCGTCACTGCCGCTGGATTAACTCCGAAAACTAGCTTCTCCGGCGATGCAAAGCCTGCGTTGCCAACCCCAGAACCTCCACGATTCTTGCCACTAGGAGCCCCAGAGACCTCATCGACGTTCTCCATCGCGACCGGGGCGGTGTGCCGGAGACCGGAGGCAGGGGACGGGAGGGTGATCTTGTTGAAGCCCTGGACGGTGTAGTCGACATCCTCCTGGTCGAGGAGGGAGCAGCAGGGCCTCTTCCTAGTCTTCATATCAAACGGTTCTGCGGCTGGCAGTGATGGTAGAGGAGGAGGAGGAGGATAGAAGGGGACGGGGAGTCTCCTCCGCTTCACGGGGTTGCCGGCGGCGGCATTGGCGGCGGCGGGGCAGTGGCAGCTGAGCACGCTGAGGCGGGGCAAGAGGGACTCGGGGCACGCCTCGTCGTGTTCTTCTTCTTCTTGAAGTGGGGGTTGTTCATCCTCCGGCGGTTCTTGATGAGCGAGGGAGCTCATTGTTGCGTTTCCGGTGTATGCAGATGGAAAAGGCTGGGAAGGTAGAGAAAGAGAGCGAAACAGAGGTTTCATAAGGGAAATGCTGTTGCTCGTTTTCTTTCTTTGGCGCCGCATAATTCTTGGCGGTTAGAGGTAGTTATTTTATACTCTTGTTCCTTTAATAATAAAATATATATATATATATATATTTTTTTTTTCCAAGCACACAAAGTATAAAGTAGGTAATTTATAATCTTTTGTAAATTTAGGCTTCGTTCAGGGAAAATAAACTAGTCAATAAAAACATTTTCTATTAATGTAGAAAACACATTCAAAAGTGAGGAAAATATTTTCCGTTTTTCCATATTTTCTTCCACCTCACTTTCTTTCACCAAACACATTTTACTTTCATTTTTTTCTTTTTTCGTTTTTAAAAAACTATTTTTTAATTATTTTTTCTTTTTATTTTTCCTTTTCTTCTTCCTCAACTAGTCACCGGCCACGGCGACACCCGGCGATCAGCCACAGGCGAGGCCAAGCCTCTCTAGATCCGACGTTGCGAGCCCAAGCCTCGCCGTATATGGCGTTGCTCGAGCCTCGCCAGTCTCAATCGAGGCCGAGCAACGCCGGATCTAGAGAGGCTCGGCCTCGCTCGAGGCCGGCGAGGCTCAAGCTCACTAGGCTTGGGCGAGCAAGGCCAAGCCTCGCGTGTGGCCGGTTGCCGTGGCCGATGACCGGCAGAGGAAGAAAGAAAAGAAATATTAACAATTATAAAAAAAAATTCAAAAATAAAAAATAATTAAAAATTCGATTTTTTTTAAAATAAGGTAAAAAATATTAAAAGGAGTGCAATGAGAATTTTCCATACCAAACGACGGAAAATATTTTTCAGTTCATTTTCCGATCTCAGCCGAACACCGGAACCTAAGTCTTGACTTTTTAATGAATTCTCGTGAATAGTTATCTTTTGAATTATAGGAAGTACAACAATAGGTAAATTAAAGTTAGGTGACGCTAAGTTAGGTGACGCTATTCCGTCCTTAAATAGCTTAATGCACACATTTTTCATTGAAATGATGAAAGTTAAAACGAATTCCTTCTTCGAAACTGTTGTTTTTTTTTTTTTAGAGGGCAAACACAAACACGTTTCTCATCATTCCTCTTTACTCAAAAAGATCCAACTTGTGCTGAAATTTACGATAGAAAGAAAAATCGAATTTGCCAAAAGTTTCATGGCGACAACTTCTAAACCCCACTTGAAAAGCACACTTTGTAAGTTCTCGAAACTCTTCAAAGTACATGTACGGAGTATATATTCACATATACCGCAATAAAATAAACCGACTAGATGATATGCAATAATATATTTGGCATTACGACCTTTACTCCAACGATGCGGTCCATAGATTTTTGTTCCTACGGTGTTTCGGGGTCTCGAGGGAGTGTCGTCACAAGAAGGAAATCATTGCTAGTACCAAAATCAAAAGGTTGTATTTCCCTCCAGTCTCTTATGGGATCTTACTCATAAACAATTAAAAGTGAGCTCAGGACCCCATTGATCAGAGCCCTGATTAGGAAGGAACTCAAAATGGTCAGGAAATTTGGTTCAACGGACTTGTTGATCATTGTCTAATGCCATTTTAATATGACAGACTAACGTAAATCGTGCTCCAGACTTTGCCCTTTCGAATGCCATTGGGAAAATGACACAAACAGTCCCTGAACTTTGACTCAATGTCCTAAAAGTTCATGGACCATATTGAATTAATGTAGTCTCTGAACTTGAATTAATGGAAGGATTACGTTGAACATTTTAGTATAGTTCGGGGATTAAATTGAACGTGTACCAAAACTTTAAGGATGACATTGAGCAAATTAAAAGTTCAGGGAACACATTGTACATTGGATTAAAGTTCTTGGACTATACTGAACAAATTAAAAATTTAAATATCAAATTGCACATTCAGTCAAAGTTCAAGGACTGTTTGTGTCATTATCCCAATGCCATTTTAATCCACAACCCGATCGAACATTAGAAAACTTTTTGTATCATATGTGTTGGATCATAATCAATCAAAGCTGAATTTGATGAATAGGCCGTTGAAAAACCGAACTAGAGAGCCGCCGACAACTGTCACCTCGCGCTTGCGTGGTGGTGGTGCCAGGGGGTAGTCGGAGGGGAGGTTGAGGGAGAGCGCGGAGTTGGGTGGGGGGGAGTTGGCCTTGGCCTTGAAGGCGCGGAGGCTGCGGGCAGCCTCCTCCGGGGTGTCGAAGTTGTCAAGCCAGACCCGTGTCTTCTTCCGGGGGGTCGCATGTCTCCGCCGCATAGCGGCCCCACAGCCTCCTGCGAAAGCCCCCATAATGGCCCTCCCGAGGCACCGACGGCGGCGACGGCGACATGAATGAGGAGGAGGCGGTGGTGGAGGAAGAAGAACTACGGGGAGAGAGAGTGTGGGGGCGCATAAAACCGGAAAGGACGGTGGGGCCCACTTGCAGTCCGCACCTGCAATCGCCGAGCAATCCGCTTAGTTTGGTTACCCAAAAGCATCATCAAAAGAAGCACAAGATCCATTTGTTTGCCATTTCCACAACTTCGTTTTTCCTAGTGGTCTAGTAACTTATACCCGAGCCGCCCCCCCGCCCGACCGCACGGCCCGCCACGGTGCCGAGCGCGAGGTATAGTTGGGCGGGCCGCTTCTTTGCCGGGTCGTGTCCACTCGACCTGAATGCACCGGGTCGATTTCCTTCTCGTGTTCGGTTTATTGCTTATTGTCTAATTATGATAGACGTTTACTGGCAATTTAAGTCTGGCATGAACTTGAATTGTTCCCATGGCAACTGTTTTGACAATCGAATTTTCTATCTTGTGGTAGGAATCTACTCCTTTTCGAAGTTCTTCAATCGTCTCTTGCTTGTTTTAGTGTTTGCCTGTCTGGTATCGTCCTCTCTAGATGTATTTGTCGTGTATGAAATTGTTTCAGAAGTCAAATAAGTTCCCTCCATGTTTCGAGTTTTCGATGCGAGCCGTTATCTTTTCGATTAGATATAGATTTCCTATGTCTTTTGAATTTTGGAGGTTAATTTGACACACTTTTAGCAAGTTTAAAGAGGTTAATTTTTTTTAAAAAAGAAAAGATAATTGAGTATATGTCATCGATCCCACATTGTTTATGTTGGGGCTACTCCGCCGACGAATATGTCTCATGCAATCTTAAATAATATGATAGGTTTTAAAGTTGTACGAGTGTAAGTGAGGTGCGACTGGAGTAATAGATTTCACCTTTTATATTTGGTGTTTTGCTCTTTGAATTTAACAAGTACATCACTCGGCAGTAACACATGCTATAATTAATCTATCAAAAGTGAGATGCATACACACGCGATGGTAAGTAGGATGAGATTCATGACATGCGGCAATGACGATTGCTTGATTACATGACGCCGTCATCGCCTTTTTCGATGTGTTAGCAAAAATACAAGTTGTGAAGAAAGGGCAAATATAAACTTCTAATTACAAGTATGTTATGAGAAAAGAGACTTAAATAACAGGGCATACAAATTTCTAATTGGATCAAACTATCATCAAAGTTTGATGTATAGATTATAAACACCTAGATTGTAATACCCGCAATTCATTTCAATGGTAACTTTAATCTCTTTCTAATAATTCCTTTCTTGGCAATTAGTATGATAATTGATGATGGTTACCTTTTTCGATATAAAACAATAAAGATGATTGGATCTATTCATAGATTATGCAAATTCATGTATCAAAGAGTATAAAAAAGAAGAAGAAAATTATGTGAAAATATTACTTTATAAGTAGTAATAGCATGTAAAAAATGAGTTTGTGTTGAGAAGGGAAATAATAAAAGAATTAAAAAGGTGGGGTTCATGAGAAGAAGCCCACGCGCACCCTTTTTCTACTCTATCTAATCTTTTTCGAAAAGATAAGTGCACTGCAAGTCGTAAAACTTGTCATAGAAATATAATTGAGTTTAAAAACTTGCAAAATGTACAATCAATTCACAAAACATGTCAAATTTATGTAATCAAGTCCTTCCGTTAACTCTGTCCAACTTAACTAACAGAAAATGCTGACATGGTCAAAATATGAAACATAAGGCTAAAACGATGTCATTTTGGTCAAAATGTGATTTTTAATACAAACTTTATTTGAATTAAATTTAAAAATAAGCTAAATTTTAAAAAAAAATAAGAGAGAGATAGAGAGGTGAGAAACGAGCGCCACCATCGATGGGAGGAGCTAGCAAGGGTGGGGGATGGCCAATGAGGGTCGCTGGGCCTCGGCCAATGGCAACCCTCAGCTAGATCTAGGCAAGGGCCGACGACTCTCGCTTATGGTTGGCGAGGGTCGTCGGCCACTGGCCAAGGCTCAGCGACCTCCGTCGGTCATTCCCCACCCTTGCCGGGCCTTCTCATCGATTTAAATTCAATATAGCCCTTGCTACCTAGTTTCTCACTCCCTTTTTTTTTTTTTTTTCCTATTTAGCATATTTTTTATTTAATTTAAATGAAATCCGTATTAAAAATCGGATTTAGACCAAAACAGCATCAATTTAGCCATGTCATTGCCACGTAAAATAGAAAAAATAAAAATAAAAAAGTCAAATTAACATTTTCCGTTAGCCAAGTTGTGTATCTCTCTTTCGACCCAAAAAAAGTTGTGTATCTCTCGTTAGTTTTTGAATTTGTCAGGCGACACGCAAACAGAAGCTACTCCACGTAGTTTCGAAACTATTTGCGCATCTCTCGTAAATTTTAGCAATCGAGAGATGGATCGATGAAGATTATACGATAGTGAGCAGAAGAAAGAGGAGAGAAAAGAGCTCGAGAATTATATTTATCTTTTCGGGGCATTTCAGTCAATTCAATTAAAGGCAACAATAAGAAAGGGTGGAATCGCTCGGCGTGCTCGATACCGAATGCTCACGATGGCCCTTCCAACCCACGCTCAAGTTCCCTCACCCTCGAGTCCCGCTCGACCAAGCCATTAGTCGAAACCATGCTGGTTTTTTCTTTTCCTAAACATGTCGAGATATATAATATTCCTCGAATTAAAGAAAAAAAATGCGAAAAAGAATTGCTAGTGAATAT